AGGAGAGTTCTATTTTCCCAGAAATGTATCCATCTCTTCTAGGTTTTCTAGTTTATGTGCATGAAGGTGTTCATAGTACCCTTGAATGATCTTTAGTATTTCAATGGTATCAGTTGAAATATTTTATTTCTTAGTGAGGTTATTTGGATTTTTATTTTATTTCTTAGTGAGGTTATTTGGATTTTCTCGCTTTCTCTTTCTCTTTTTTTTTTTTTTGAGATGAAATCTCACTCTTATCACCCAGGCTGGAGTGCAATGGCATGATCTCAGCTCACTGCAACCTCCACTTCCCAGGTTGAAGGGATTCTCCTGCCCTCAGCCTCCCAAGTAGCTGGATTACAAGCACCTGCCACCACACCTGGCTAATTTTTATGTTTTTAGTAGAGATGGGGTTTCACCATGTTGGCCAACCTGGTCTCTAATTCCTGACCTCAGGCAATCCACCTGCCTCAGCCTACCAAAATGCTGGGATTACAGGTGTGAGCCACTGCACCCGGCCCTCTCTTCTTGGTATCTTGCTATCAATTTTATTTATCTTTTCAAAGAACTAGATTTTTATTTTATTTATCTTTTGTATTTTTTTTTTTTTTTGGTTCAACTTCATTTAGTTCTGCTCTGATCTTGTTTATTTCCTTTCCTCTGCTGGGTTTCAGTTTGGTTTGTTCTTGTTTCTCTAGTTCTTTGAGGTGTGACCTTAGAAGGTCAGTTTGTACTCTTTCAGTCTTTTTGATGTAGGCATTTAGGACTATGAACTTTGGCCTTAGCACCTTCTTTGCTGTATTCCAAAGGTTTTGATAGGTTGTGTCATTACTGTTGTTCAGTTTGAAGAATTTTTAAATTTCCATGTTGATTTTGTTTTTGACCCAATGCTCACTTAGGAACAGGTTATTTAATTTCTATGTATTTGCATGGTTTTGAAGATCCCTTTTGGAGTTGATTTCCCATTTTATTCCACTGTGGTCTGAGAGCATGCTTGATATAATCTCAATTTTCTGAAATTTATTGAGGCTAATTTTTTGGCCTATTATATGGTCTATCTTGGAGAAAGTTCCTTGCACTGTTGAATAGAATATGTATTCTGTGGTTGTTGGGTGAAATATTCCGTATATATCTGTTAAGTCCATTTGTTCCAAGGTATAGTTTAAATACATTGTTTCTCCGTTGACTTTCTGTCTTGATGACCTGAGTAGTGCTGTCAGTGGAGTATTGAAGTCCCCAACTATTAATGTTGCTGTGTATCTCATTTACTATTATTGTGTTGCTGTCTATCTCATTTACTAAGTCTACTAGTAATTATTTTATAAATTTGAGAGCTCTAGTGTTATATGCATAAATGTTTAGGGTTGTGGTATTTTTCTGTTAGATAAGGCCTTTTACCATTACATAATATTCCTCTGTGTCTCTTTTAACCACTGTTGCTTTAAAGTTTGTTTTGTCTGATACAAGAATAGTTACCCCTGCTCACCTTTGGCATCCATTTGCATGAAATCCCATTTCCACCCCTTTGCTTAAGTGATGTGAATCCTTATGTGTTAGGTGAGTCTCCTGAAGGCAGCAGATGGTTGGTGAGTGCTTATCCATTCTGCAGTTCTGTATCTTTTAAGTGGAGCATTTTGGCGGCCATTTACACTTGATGCTAGTATTGAGATGTGAGGTACTGTTGCATTAATTGTGCTATTTGTTGCCTGTGTACTTTTGCTTTTGATTTTTAACTTGTATTTTTGTTTTATAGGTCCTGTGTGATTTATGCTTTAAAGAGGTTCTGTTTTGATATGTTTCCAGGATTTCTTTCAAGATTTAGAAATCTTTTTAGCAGTTCTTGCAGTGGTGGCTTGGTAATGGCAAACTGTCTCAGAATTTGTTTGTCTGGAAAAGATTGTATCTTTCCTTTGTATATGATACTTAGTTTTGCTGGATACAAAATTCTATGCTGATAATTGTTTTGTTTGAGGAGGCTGAAAATAGGGCCCTGATCGCTTCTAGCATGTAGGGTTTCTGCTGAGAAATCTGCTGTTAATCTGGTAGGTTTTCCTGTATAGGTTACCTGGTGCTTCTGTCTCACAGTTCTTAAGATTCCTTCCTTTGTCTCAAATTTGGATAATCTGATGACAGTGTGCCTAGGTGATGATCTTTTTGTGATGAATTTCCCAGGTGTTCTTTGTGCCTTTTGTATTTGGATGTCTAGATCTGTAGGAAGGCCAGGGAAGTTTTCCTCAATTATTCCCCCAAATATGTTTTCCAAGCTTTTAGAATTCTCTTCTTCCTCAGGAATAATAATTATTCTTAGGTATTATCATTTAATATAATCCCAGACTTCATGGAGACTTTGTTTATATTTTCTTATTCTTTTTTCTTTTTCTTTGTTAGATTGGATTAATTCAAAGACCTTGTCTTCAAGCTCTGAATTTCTTTCTTCTACTTGTTCAGCTCTATTGCTGAGACTTTTAAGAGCATTTTGCATTTCTGTAAGTGTGTCCAATGTTTCATGAATTTTTGATTTTTTTTTTTTTGAGACAGAGTCTTGCTTTGTTGCCAGGTGCCAGGCTAGAGTGCAGTGGTGTGATCTCGGTTCACTGCAACCTCCGCCTCCTAGGTTCAAGCAATTCTCCTGCCTCGCCTCCCAAGCAGCTGGGACTACAGGCACATGCCGTCATGCCCAGCTAATTTTTGTATTTTTAGTAGAGACAGGGTTTCACCATGTTGGCCAGGATGGTCTCTATCTCTTGACCTTGTGATCTGCCCACCTCAGCCTCCCAAAGCGCTGGTATTACAGGTGTGAACCACTGCACCTGGCCGAATTTTTGATTTTTTTTTAAAGCTATCTATTTCCTTGACTATTTCTCCCTTCACTTTTTGTATTGTGTTTTGGATTTCCTTGCATTGGGCTTTGCCTTTCTCTGGTACCTCCTTGATTAGCTTAATGACTAACCTCCTGAATCCTTTTTCAGGTAAATCAGGGATTTCTTCTGGTTTAGATTAATTGCTGGTGAACTAGTCTGACTTTTTGGGGTGTTAAAGTGCCTTGTTTTGTCATATTACTAGAATAAGTTTTCTTGCTCCTTCTTATTTGGGTAGGTTCTGTCAGAGGGAAGGGCTTAGGCTGAAGGCTCTTGTTCAGGTTCTTTTGTCTCATGGGATGTTCCCTTGATGTAGTACTCTCCCCCTTTTCCTATGTATGTGGCTTCCTGTGAGTTGAACTGCAGTGATTGTTATCTCTCTTCTGGGTCTAGCCACCTAGTGTGTTTACCAGGTTCTGGGGGTTGTCTGCACAGAGTCCTGTGATGTGAACTGTCTATGGGTCTCTCATCTGTGGATACCAGAGCCCACTTTGGTGGAGGTGGCAGGGGGGATATGCTGGATTCCATGAGGGTTCTTAGCTTTGGTGGTTTAATACTCTATTTTTGGGCCAGGCGTGGTGGCTCACGCCTCTAATCCCAGCACTTTGGGAGGCCGAGGTGGGTGGATCACGAGGTCAGGAGTTCAAGACAAGACTGGCCAAAATGGTGAAACCACATCTCTACTAAAAAATACAAAAAATTAGCTGGGCATGGTGACTTGTGCCTATAATCCCAGCTACTTGGGAGGCTGAGGTAGGAGAATTGCTTGAACTGGGACCCAGGAGGCGGAGGTTGCAGTGAGCTGAGATTACGCCACTATACTCCAGCCTGGGCTACAAAGCGAGACTCCATGTCATAAAAAAGGACAAACAAAATACTCTATTTTTGTTCTGGTTTGCCTCCTGCCAGGAGGTGACAGACACTTTTCAGAGAGCATCAGCAGTGGAAGTATGAAGAGAAACCAGTGGTGGACAAGAGCCTAGAACTCCCAAGATTATATGCCCTTTGTCTTCTGCTACCAGGGTGAGTAAGGAAGGAGTGCCAGGTGGGGGCAGAACTAGGTGTCACTGAGCTCAAACTCTCCTTGGGCAGGTCTTGCTGCAGTTGCTGTAGGGGATGAGGGTGAGATTCCCAGGTCAATGGAGCTGTGTACCTAGGAGGATTATGGCTGCCTTTGTTGAGTCATGCAGGTTGTCAAGGAGGTGGTGTAAAGCTGGCAATCATAAGATGCACTCAGCTCCCATGCAATCTGAAGAACCAGTCTCACTCCCACCATGCCCCTCACCTGCCAATAGCCCTGAGTCTCTTTTCAGGCAGTGGGTGAACTGGGCTTGAAAACTTACCCCAGGCTACCCACCTCTCAGCTGCAAAAGAAAAGTGCTTGGTTCTTCACCCACCTGTGGAGTCTGCACACTGCATTTGTGCCCTTGCCTGAGTTCTGTCCAGGAGGCTTCTCACCCCAGTCAAATTGTTATAAAGTGTAGGTGGAGATTTCCTTGTCCCTGTAGAGTTTCTCCTTTATCCACTTGCCACTCCTCTGGCTGCCCTCCCAATAGATTCCTATGTTGTCAGGCAGCAGTGGCCTGCTTGGGGACCCAGCAAGCTCCCAGGGCCTTTCTGTTGTTTTGACTCCAGTATTTCATTTGGCTCTCTAAATTGACTTAGCTCCAAGTAAGGTCAGAAACTTCTCCTTCAAACAGACCTTTTGCTTATCCCGTGAGAGCATGTATTCAAGAGAGGAGGCTCTCCCTTTTTCACTTCCACAGTTGGGGCACTCACAGTATTTGGGGTGTCTCCCTGTTCTTGCAGGAGCAGTGTGCTTCCTTCAGAGGGTCTGCAGGTTCTCCTGGGATTGCTGCTTTGTTTTTACAGTCAGGCTGGGGCTAAAGTTCACAATGCAAGCCTCTGCACGTTGCTCTGTCCATCCAAGTCGGAGCTGCAATCTAGTCTTTCTCCCATCTGCCATGATGATTGAACTTTATTTTTTAAATCTTACTTTACACTGATATTCTACTTTGAAGGTTTTTTTTTCTGTATATACCTAGAGTGATAGAGTCAACTACATACGTGAACTAATGAGATAATCTGGCAATCTTGGGTATGATTGATGATGGATTAAAAATAATTAAATGTTTTATGCTGGATATTTTTTCTTTTTTTTTTTTTTATATGGAACACTTCATGAAGTTGTGTTTCATCCTCATGCAGGGGCCATTCTAATCTTTTCTGTATTGTTCCAAGTTTAGTATATGTGCTGCCGAAGCAAGCATTATTTCTTTTTATAAATAATGCTACTTGGCTTAGTCAAATTTTTTTTCCTTAAGTACAGAGATCAACTCAACATAGATCAAATTGTGCCTAATTAGGTACAATTAGATTTTTCAATATTATGTTTATTTTTGTGATTATATAAATTATTAAATATCATCTCCTCTCCTGCTTTGCTGTTTTGATCCCAGATGTATGGTGGCATCAGTTGGAATTAAAGATGAGTTTTAATGATTCAAAGGGAAGTCATCATATTGGCTAGTTCCGTGTATATAAAATAATTTCAATATCATTCAGTGTTATTCAAGATGTTCAACTAGAATGTTTCGTATTATTCAGGGTCCTCCAGAGAAATATATATATATACACATATATATGTGTGTACACACACACACATTCTATTTATTATATAAGGCATTGGTCCGTGGGATTATGAAGACTGAGGAGTCCCAAGATCCGCTTTCTGCAAACTGGAGACTCAGGAAATGTGGTATAGTTTGAAGGCCTGAAAAGTAGAGGGTTGATAGTATAGATTCCAGTCCAGGTCTGAAGTTCTGAGAACTAAGAGTGCTTCAGGCAGGATAATATTGATGCCTCAATGCAATAGTCAGGCAGACGAGGGCATATTCAACCCTCCCCCACATTATGCCCATTCACATTGGTGAGGGCCATCTGCTTTACTCTACTGGTTCAAATGCTTATCTCTTCCAGAAACACACAGACACACTTCGAAGTAATATTTAATCAGATATCTGGGCATCCCATGGCCCAGTTGAGTTGACACATAAAATTAATAATCACAGTTTGGGTACCCTAGATTACAAAAAGTCATAGCATTTTTGTTTGTTTGTTTGTTTTGAGGTGGAGTCTCTCACTGCCACCCAGGCTGGAGTGCAGTAGTGCAATCTTAGCTCACTGCAACCTCCACCTCCCATGTGCATGTGATTCTCCTGCCTCAGCCTCCCAAGTAGCTGGGACCATAGGTACACGCCACCATACCCAGCCATTTTTCTTATTTTTGTAGAGACAAGGTTTCACCATGTTGGCCAGGTTGATCTTGAACTCCTGACCTAAGTGATACACCTGTCTCAGCCTTCCAAAGTGCTGGGATTGCAGGCTTAAGTCACCTCACCCAGCAACCATAGCTTTTTGGCAAGTATGGTTTTAGTAATTAAAATGCCCCTAAAATATTGCTTTTGGGGTCTCAGTTTTTAAAGTTTAATTGTATTAATCAGTGGGTTAGTGATATTAATATCCTTGCTAACAGTAGCAGTATTTGAAGGCACCAGAGGACATGTTAGAAGTACAATTATTAAGAAAGCTTAAATGCTGGAGAGGATGTGGAGAAATAGAACAGTTTTACAGTCTTGGTGAGCATGTAAATTAGTTCAACCATTGTGGAAGACTGTGTGGCGATTCCTCACAGAACTAGAAATAACATTTGGCTCAGGAACCCCATTACTGGGTATATACCCAAAAGATTATAAATTATTCTATTATAAAGACACATCCACACATATGTTTATTGCAGCACTGTTAACAATAACAAAGACTTGGAACCAACCCAAAAGCCCATCAATAATAGACTGGATAAAGAAAACGTGGCACATATATACCATGGAATACCATACAGCTACAAGAAAGGATGAGTTCATGTTCTTTGCAGGGACATGTATGAAACTGGAAACCATAATTTTGACAAACTGTCTCAAGAACAGAAAACCAAACACAGCACGTTTTCACTCATTAGTGGGAGTTGAATACTGAGAACACACATGGACACAGGAAGGGGAACATCACGTACCGGGGCAGGTTGTGGGGTAGGGCACTAGAGGAGGGATAGCATTTAGAGAAATACCTAATGTAGATGACAGGTTGATGGGTGCAGCAATATACCATGTCATGTGTATACCTATGTAAACTGCACGTTCTGTACATGTACCCCAGAACTTAAAATGTAATAATAATAATAAAAAGCTTAAAAAGCAGACATTAACAAAAATAGTGGAGTGAGGAACTCCAAAATTCAAATTCATCGTAAAAGCAAACAAACAAACAAACAAAACAACTGGCAAAAACCCGCAAAATAATCTTTTTTTGTAACCCTGGAAACCAATTAAATGGTTGGAGCAATTAGGGGAGGGCTTCTACAGAAAAAATGATTGAATCTCAGTAAGAACAGTAAATGTTGTGGTGTTTTAACTTATGGTAATCCTGTCCTCTACTCCCCAGGTCAGTGGTAGGTCTGAAAATAACAGAACATATTCACAGTACTGGAAGGAGCAGAATATACATCATTTAGACTGGTGTGTTCTTTTTAAATTTTCCCATTGGCATCATAGAAGACCTTCTCAAAAGGCTTATCTTTATCTCACCTGCCTAGAAATCCAATGCTAAATCTGTTACCCATGGGGGTATTTGTCAAACATTTACCAGCAAATGTTTTGGTCACTGCTGCCTGAGGCAATGAATAACATTTGGGGCAAACAGTGGACTAATCGAAAAGATCTGGAGGAAAGACTGGGGCATGCCTGCAATGTGCATAAAACATATTTTCCTGGGAATTTAGAAGGTCATACACATGCTAAAGGCTGTGAACATGCTCAGAAATGATCTGAAAAGGCCTTAATCTCTTACCCTGTGAGGCTTGGCACAAGCAGGAAGTGAAGGCTCATTGCCTGGATGAGCATTGAAGACATGCCCCAACACACACATGGGCTCTCTGCAAAGACTGGAATATTTTTTGGTTCTAGGCATTTAAAGAAATACCTGTCCAATTATTAGAAGACTTGTAAGTTAATGGAACAGAGAGATGGAACGGAGACTTCAGTTGACATGTGATAATGCAGACTTCACAGAATAGGCATGAAACAACTACTAATTAATACAATGAGCAGCAACTTCAGTTTTTGAGAAGAGGGTAAAATATGATTTCCAGAATTGCTACATATTAATATTCAAAATGTTCAATTTGTATTTGTTTGTTGTTTTTTGAGATGGAGTTTGACTCTGTCCTCCAGGCTTGAGTGCAGTGGTATGATCTCACTGCAATCTCCGCCTTCTGGGTTCAAGCAATTCTCCTGCCTCATCCTCCTAAGTAGCTGGGATTGCAGGCATGCACCATCGTGCCTGGCTAAGTTTTGTATTTTCACTAGAGACAAGGTTTCACTATGTTGTTGAGGCTGGTCTTGAACCCCTGGCCTCAAGTGATTTACCTACCTCAGCCTCCCAAAGTGCTGAGATTACAGGCATGACCCAGTGTGCCCAGCCTCAAAATGTTCAATTTTTAACTAAAATTGCAAAGCATGCAGAGAAAACAAGAAAGTATAGCTTATGTACTAGAAAAAAAGTAATCAACAGAAACTCTAAGGAAGATCAGATGTTAGACTTACCGGACAAAATTGAAACTATTTTAAACATGTTTAAAGATCTAAAGGAAGTCATGTTTTAAAAAAGAAAGGTGACAGAACAATGGCTCGCCAAATAGAAAATGTCAATAAAGATAAATTATACAAATGAATCAGAAATTATGAAATAAAAAAGTGCCATAACCAAAATGAAAAATTCATTGGCAAGGCCCAAAAGCAGATTTCAGCAAGCAAAAGAAAAAAAAATCTAGCAAACCTGAAAATCGGTAATGAAAAAAATAAAAAAAAATTTTTTTTTCAAGACAGGGTCTTACTTACCCAGGCTGCAGTGCAATGGCATGTTCACAGCTCATTTCAGCCTCAGCCTCCCAGGCTCAAGCAATCTTCCTGCCTCAGCTTCCCTAGTAGCTGGGACTACCAGCACAAACCACCACACTGGAGTAATTTTTGTGTTTTTTTGTAGAGATGGGGTTTTTCTGTGTTGCCCAGGCTGGGCTTGAACACCTGAACTTAAGTAATCTACCTGCCTTGTCCCCTCAGAATGTTGGGATACCGGCATGAGCCCATGTGCCTGGCTGAAAATAGGTATTTTATAAATTAAGCTATGAGTTGTAATTTTCAGGGCTGCCACTAAGAAAATAACTAAAAATATGTAGTGAAAGTAATGACAAGGGAATTAAAATGATATGCTAAACAATATCAACACAAAAGAAGAAAGTAACAGAGGAATTGAACAATAATAAGTAGCCAAAAGAAAGCTGGAGTGACTATGTTGATATCAGACAGAATAGACTTTAAGACAAAATTTTAGAACCAAAGTGAACATTATATCATAATAAAAGATGAAGAGTATAAAATAATTATAAATATATTTGCACCTAACAACAGAGCCCCAAGATACATGAAGCAAAACTTGACAGAAGTGAGAGAAAGAGACAATTCAACAGTGACAGTTGGAGATTTCAATATTCAAATTTCAGTAGTGAATGTAATAACTAGATAGAAGATTAGTAAAAAAAATTAGACTTGAAAAACACTATTAACCAATTAGACCTAACATATCTAAAGAACATTCTAGCCAACAACATGATGTACATTCTTCTCAAGTGCACATGAACATTCTCCAAGATAGACTATATGATAGGTCACAAAAAAGCTTCAGTAAATTTAAAAGGATTGAAACCAGGTAAATGTATCTCCAACCACAATAAAATGAAATTAGAAATCAACAACAGACAGAAATTTGGAAACTTTACAAGTATGTGCAAATTAAACAACACACTCTTGAATAACTGGGGGTCACTGAGAAATTCACAAGGAAAATGAGAAAATACTGTAAAAAAAGTGAAAACACAACATGCTCAAACCTATGAGATGCAAGAAAAATAGTGATCAGGGGAAATTTACAGTTATAAAGTCCTACATTAAAAAGGAATATCTCAAATCAATCACCTAACTTTCTACCTTAGGAAACTAAAAAAACAAAAACACACTAAAAGCAAGAAGAAGGGAAAAAATATTAAAGATTAGTGTGGAGATGAATGAAGTAGAACATAGAAAAACAATAGAATCAAGGACCCCAAAATTTGACTATTTGAAAATTTCAACAAAATTGACAAGCCTAACCAAGTGAG